CCCATTTGCTCTCTGATCTTAGAGAAGCGAATGATAGCTTTAAAAGAGTTGGAGAGCTAGTGTTCCTCTGTGTTTGAACCCTGGATGCAAAAGAGACCACGGGTTGGCAATAAATAGTGGAATGAGATCAGTTGTTTGAGTAGGTGATGCAATATTATCCATATGTTTCAAAGAGAAGCTATACTCCATTAAGAGCTGCAATTTGCTATTGCTGTATTATTTTAACGGAATGAGTTGTTTGAACAACTTTAGAGTGGTGTCCAAGACAATCAATTTCTTTCGACCTCCTTCCTGTTCAAGTGAAGCCCCCGTTCTTGGAAAAACCACGTTATTAGATGTCTTGTTATACTCTTTAGTGCATGCGTAGTGACAAAACTAAACTTGTTAATTTACTGTGAGATGTAAGGCAGACTAGGTTTACTGCATAGACCAAACTCACCTAAAAATTCGAGTGTGTTAATGATTAATTTAGTATATAGGCCAAACTTACCTAAGAATTCATGTCCATTGAAGATGTTAAATATCTTGAGCTTAACTTACCTGTGAACTCATGGAACTTATTTTTACTGCAGCTTGTTATCTGGGTTTAAACCCACAGGACATGAAACTTGAGAATCAGTAAGTGAAGCTTGAAAAGTTTTATCTCATTGGTCGGACGTAACTGTCTCAACCGAAGTTCTTGGTGGCGAAGTAACAGTGAAGGGACGTGAAAGGGGGTTTCTGTGTCATCTCAATGTCAACAAGTCCTTTTTGGAGGTAGAAACGTCCCTCTGAAATATTTTTTATTATTATTATGATCAAGACGACACAGAACATGCATGAAGAGTAAGGAAACCTCAAGCAAACAGAGCAGAAACCAAACAAAAAATTAAACAAAATGTTATGGGGTTTTGAGGAAAGTGATAGTACCCATTTTATTTTTGGGATTACAATACTCTGAATTTCTCCGTCTAAATTTCCATGAATATGAGCTAAAAAGAGCCATTGATTAAATCAACTTTCTTGATGCTGGCACTTTACAAATGAAACGTTGTTTCCTCTGCCCTCATTACCCGAACAACCAAGACCGACATTCGATCCCTTAAAAATCATGGCTGAGGAGAACTGAAGCGGCAAACGCGGCAACATCATGAAAATGATTTAATCAATGGTTTACATTAGTTAAAACTCATGAAAATTCACACAGACACACACACAGAGAGAGAGAGAGAGAGAGAGATGCAGAGGATTTAGGTCCTGTCTTATATTTGCATATTTTTCTGTCCTCCATCCACAGTCTGGGAATGGCTGGCTGTTAGTTGGCTGCCTTAAAATAAAAACACACTTTTCACCAACATCTTGTAAAAGCTGTAAGGCTTTAATATATATATATAATGCTTCGACCAAAAATTAATCAAACTCTTAGTTGGTGCAGGTCGTCCCTGAAGTTACTACCAAGGGCCCCTCTAACGTCAAAATTTCCCGTGAAAAAGGAATGAATTAATTAAATTAAGTCCTAATTAACTCGAAAAATTAAATCTCACGCTGACCCTCTGATCTTTGCTAGGCGTTTACTATCAACAAAACTTTCTGCAGATAAATAACTTTTGAGTCGACTCCACCAACCATAACATGTTATCTTAATTCTTTTTCTAGAGAGGAGTTTGGTCATGCGTGGTACTGCTATAAGTGGACCTAATAAATATAATCTCTGCCACCTTTATACCGTAACATATATGTGCCTTTTCTTCTCACCTAATTCTTCCAAAAATGCTAACAAAAATTAGTACATTTCATAAAAGTGAGTCGCGTAAGCACAAAAAGCCTTCGGATTCAATTATTTCTTTCTTTTTTTTGACTGTTCTATGTGTCCCTTTTCATAACATCTTTTTCCTTCATTTCCTCTTCTATTAAAAATATCTAAGGATCATGCATGATATTTGTAGACAAGGGATAAACTAACTAAATTGGGTTACTGCAACTCACATCCTCTTTTCTTTTGGATGATATGTCTTTCTAATGCATGTTCAGATGGTTTTAAAAAATTGTGATATATATATATATATATGGAAATTTAGAATTTCTTTCAATTTTTTTCTTAAAAATAAAACAGAATACACCACTAAAATTGGTTTTCAATTGTAAATTTAAAATGGTGATAGACAACAAAACATGAAACTTAATGCGAACGCTTCATATGACTAATTACTGTGTTGTTAGAGGGAAGGGATATGGACCAAACTGATAAACCAACAGCATTTGAGCAGGGACCAATGCATGGAGCACCGTGTTCTTCCTTTTAATGAATATAAAGTTGGCCTTTAAAACTTTCGTTTTGGCCTCATAATTAATTGAAGAATAAAATTTACCTACCGAGAAATATTCTTGGATGCGACAGTCCGGTAACAGAAAGAGAACATATAGACTAGAGAAGTGGAAAGACACGTATTAACTCAAAACTTTAAGTCTTGGGTTTATGAGTCTTTTTCTTTTATTATATATTAATTATTAAATTTAATTTTATTTAGTGTGAGATTGCCCACATCGGCTCAAATAGCTTCTCAAATTTGAACATCTTGACAGAACTTAATAAAATTAAGTAAAGCTTATATCCTCATTAGTAATAATACAATTTATATTATATAAGAACATAAGTTTGAATCCTTTTGATAAACTAAGAATTCATTGATAGATATAATTTATAAGTATCTCTATGAGCTTTTTAAGTTTAAAAGTGTACCTAAGTTTTGGTGAGCCATGAGTCTCAGCATTCAACTTACTTAGAATTCATTAAAAAAAGTCAAAACTTATAAATCTTAAATAAAATTTTGTAAATTCAAAATAATATAATGTTAAATTTTTATTTATATATATTTCAAACATGCGTGGATTATGCCATGATGGCAAGCCATCCAGTTCCTTGACATTATTTTTATTCTCTTATGCCAAATTAAGAGCTTGTTTGGTTTCTATTTTCATTTTTTCTTTTTAAAAACTGTTTTGTAATATAATTTTTAGAATTATTTTTTTAAAAAAATAAAAATTTATTTGGCTTTGTTAATTTAAAAACAATTTTAGAGTGAAAAAATAGATTGATAGTAATAGTTATGAACAGTTAATGGTGATAATTTATGATAAAAATTGATCAAGATAACTGTACTTTTTAATAATCAAATATAGTATATTTTAAAAATAAAAAATAAAATAAAAATAATTTGAAGTTATTTCTATTAAAAAATAATTAAATAAAAAACACTTGTTCAAATAGACTTTAAAATTTTTCTGTTTTCAAAAACAAAGAATAGTTATTTCCACCTTTATTTGATTGATGTCAAGGCTTCTTTAATTTCTACCTAAGTTTTTTCTTTATTTTTTTTCCCTTTTTGAACATGTCATAATGGCTAAGAATAAATCCCAGGCGGTTTAAAATTTCATTATGCAATAAGTTGCTTCAAAAACTCCAAATTGAAGATGCCAAAGAAGAAATGCAGTGCTTAATGTATCTAATCACCATTGCTTAAAAGTTACAAGTAACTAATGAAGTTTGAATTTCATGTACTTGCGTATCTATTGCTGCTCACTGGCTTTATATGCCTTACAAAAACTCAAAGATCTTCTTTACTTCAAAGGCCTACGTACAATGCAAGCATCAAAATTTCCACAAATATATTGCTAATGTCATCATGAGAACAAAAAAGCTTGACATTATATATCTTTATATGACTCCTGCATTGATTACAACTCTTTCAAAACAACAAGGGATGGTTCAACTTACATATTCTATCTTGTCTCGCAAAACTGCCAATGTCATGGGACAAAGCTTTGTCATCATCAGTGAAGAAATAGCCATGACAAAAACATAGTACCTTATCTACCTCACACACACACACTCACATGTATTCTCTTCCTTATAAAGAAAATATACTAAATGTGACAAAAATATGTAGTATTATTGTGCATTTTTGATATAAATTGTCATGTGACTCTAAAACTATTGGTGTTTCTCATACCTTTCTAGGCAACCCAAAATTTTGATAACACCTAATTTCACCTCCAAACCCAGCTGTTACAATCACCAACCCCCATGCTGAAGCATGAGAGCTTGAGCTATTGGCATGACCATTATCAAAGTGCATTGACCAAGAAGAAGAAGATGATGATGATCTAGCAGAAGCAGACATGGTAGGTGAGTCGCCATACCTCATGGAAGCAGAGTCAGAAGAAGAAAACGAATCCCCAATTCCAGAACCAGTGCGAGAGATCGCTGTAGGTTCTTCCTCTTCCACAACGACATGGTGACCATTACTACTACTACTACTCTTATTCCTAGAAAATGGAGACCACCTACTCTTACTCCCACTATGAGCAAACGAAATAGCTCCAATCCCAGACATTGTACCTGAAATCCCTGAGGGCTCGTCATCCCAGGAAGGAGAAGCGTTATCAGAGGCCTGGTTTTGGTTGTTTCTCTTGATCTTATTGGGAAGAGGAGGCAAAAGTGTTGGCTTAGAAGAAGGATGAAGTGGAGATCCACAGGAAGAAGATGGAGGAGCTGGATAGTGTTTAGGGTGTCTTTTTGAATGGAGGGATGGTCCTATGGGAGGGTCACCCTTGATAGTGCGAGGCCATGGGATTGCTATGGAGACGTCTCTGCATTGGAATTGCTCGTGGGATTGAGTCAGAATTAGGTTTCTGGCTTTTGCATGGCCTTCATTCTTCCACACATATACTTGTGAATCTTCACTTGCACTTATCACGTATCTTCCATTTGGACTAAATGAAGCTGATATTTGGCTATTTGCATTTCGAAATCCTGTTGTTCATCAGCAACATCCAAATCAAACACATTATAGGTTATCAGTTAAGATCTCTAGGAGATATTTTTCATCTGAATTTTAAAGAGAAATTTACTCTTCAAGTTTGTTTGTTATCGACATGAATCACTATTATTGAGATGATAACTTCACTTTTCAAAAGTAATCTTAATCTTAATTTTAGCAATTCTATAATTAAGAAGGTACTTTCTCCTTTAAAAAAATATAAGACATGTTTTATAGTTAAGATGTTAAAAAATATAATATATTTTAGGTCTTTAAGGAAGACTTAATGAGGGTTTTTCAAAAAAAACAAACCCTTAATTATGGGTGTAGATAATAATGGTTTCTAGTTAAGATACTTAATTAAATAAAGGTAAATATGAAAAAAAGTGTATAATTTGAAAAATAACAAGCAACAAATGATAAATCTTCTACGTTTAAAAAAACATTAGATCTTATACATATTATTTTTTTATGAGTATCATATTTACAAGATGGATCCCATACCTATTTTTTTAATTTTTGTTTTGGGTTTCATATAAACTCTTAATATAGAAAAACCAAATCTCCCTTTTTTAAAAAAAAAAAATCATCATACTGTTCATGCAACCATAGATAAACAGTACCATAGTATGCACTTTACAATATATATGATTAACAAACTCATTGAAGGTGTAATTTAATTAAAAGTGGCTTATAATTTTAAAGAAGGGAGTAATATTGTTGCTCAAGATATAAGTAAAACGTGAATTTATAAATTAAATTTATTGTTATTTTACGGGAAAAATGATAGCTGAAAATTCATGAAAGAGACTTTTAAATTCATGCTTTCTCAAAATTGCAATATATCTTCTATCATTATTGAGAAAAAGACTGATTATTAAGGTCCTTAACTATTATTTATTAAAATTTAAATTACAATCCGAAAAACTGATTTTCTTTCTTTAAAAAAAAATAACAAAAGGAAGAAACAGAGAGGTTTTGGAGTGCAAGAGTAAGCACCTACAAACTTATGAACAACTCTGGAATTTTCTACAATTCTGATCCTGGAATCAGCTGAAGTAACAAGCACTTCTGATGGATTACTTGGAGCAAACTGTATGTAAGGATGTAAACCCAAGATTAGTTACTTAATCTCTCTTGTTATGATACATTGAGAATACAATGCATGCATGCTCATGGAAAATTACCTGAAAACCAGTCACCTTTCTTAAATGAGATTTCTTCTTTCGCCTAAGCTCAACTGCGCCTATTTGACTTATTTTGCAATCTGTGTCACCATATAGAACTGAATTAATATACATATTTTTTAAGGTATCATTATTATTTTTTTTGAACGAATTTAAGGTATCATTATGTTGAAATATTTTTTTTCACCCACACCGGAATATTTTCCTTAGATCAGTTGATATAGTTTCATAATTTAAAATGAAAAAAAGTAAGCAATTCTGGGACGAAATTTAATTTATGCAAATATTTTGAAGTAAAACTACATCATTCAGCTGGTTCTTTTCATCTTTGAACAATTTGGAGGCTGAGAATGAGGAATTACCTTCCGTGCTATACAAGCGACAGCTTCCGTTATGAGTACCGACAAAAGCAGCCTACATAACAACACAAACATAATCCCGCCAAAGTCAAAATATACAGATGAGAACTTTTCAGTTCATGTTTCATGCTTTTTTTTATTTTGTCATGGCCTCGTTTGTTTCATGTTTTAATCTTTAAAGACAAAAGCTTTCTTTAAAAAGGGGAAAAAATGCCTCGTTCATTAATGAAAATGGATCTGAATGTTTAAAATGGGTCATCTGTATACTGCAAAATATTCAAAGAGTGAATTAATGACAGATAACAATTTTTTCAAAAAATGTTATAAATATTAATATAGATGATTATAAATTAATTAATTTCAATTACAAAAATGATATTCATTCCCTCTGCTTTATATAATAAGTCAACTTTTTTGAAATATCATGTTAAAAAAGTATAAGGCGCTCTGAATCTTTCAAGATACAATTAATGAGGTTTTTTCCCCTCAAAAACACCCTTAATTTGTTTTATACAAAAAAAAAAAACACCTTTAACTAGTTGGTTATTTAATAAAACTTTATAATTGAAATACTATATTAAATAAGAATAAAGATAAAAAGAGTATAATTTTAAAGACAATGAACCAAATAATTGAGGACACAATTAATAATATTGAATGAAGGGAGTAAATTATAAATGTAACTCTCAATCAGTTTATAAGTGAGATTCTTACTTATAAATTGTTACTCAGAAAATTTCATCAGGAACCTAATTATTATTTTAGGAAGTTATACTGTCACTCTCGCAATAAAAATAGATAAATAAATAAAAGTGTGGCTCCATTATATTTGTTAGTAGCAATAACTAAAGAAAGAAGAAAAGGGTAATTAGGAGAAGAGAAATATACTTGAGCGTCAGGAGTGTAAGAAATAGCAGTGACCATTTCGTGAGTATCGATCCAATCCACCACGAAGCGTTGAGGAATGTTCCAAATTCTCACCTTCGTGTCCAGACACCCACTAATGAAATACTCTTCGTCCATTGGGTTGAACTGCACGCACGTTACTGCCACACCCATGTTTTAATTAATTTGGATTAATTATTTTAATTATGAATTCATTAAACTTACTTACCATAATCACTGTGGGTGAACACCTGCAAGCACGCCCTGCTCTCCATGTCCCATAATCTCACTGTTTTATCCATTGACGATGATAGCAGTAGCTGCGTTATGCAACAATGCCATGTGTTCATATTCATTGGGAAAAAAAAAAAATCACCACTTCAAATTAAGTTAATGGAAGATTCAAAATTGGACATGGCAATTGAATAGCTCAAATATTTGGGCACAAATCCCAAATGTACTCTGTAGACGAGTGCAGAAAAAGAGAGAGTATTTTGATAATTTTGCGGAAAAAATATATTGTCCCTCAATGACCATGGTCCTAGAGCAACAATATGTTTTCGAAAATCACAAAATATCATATTGAAGTTATCCATGAATCTTCAATAAATTTGGATTATGTAAATTACTACCGAAAAAGGAAGGGTATTTTGATAATTTCGTTGGAAAATGTATTGTCTTTCTTAGGATCATGATCTCTTGTGGGTTTTATTTCTGAATTAGGGATTTATGCCCAAATATTTAAGCTTCTTGGAATGTTTGAAGTCATTCATAAATCTTCCATAATATTTAATGTATGAATTAATGTAGAAAAAGAAAAGTTGTTTTGATAATTTCATTAAAAAATTAAAAAAATAAACATTAAAATGTATTTTTAATTCTTTAACTTTATATGATATTTTAATTTGATTCTTTAATTTTAAAAAATAAAAATTTTTCTGATTCTAACACCATTAATTTTAAATAATTATTTTATTTGTCAATCATTATTATTTTAAAAAGTCAACATTTAAAAATATTTTATTAATATTTAAAAATTTAAAATATAAAATTTTTTTTAGAATAAAACTAACGATATTAGATTAAAAAACTGAAAAAATAACATTTTATAAAATTAAAAAATAAAATAAAATATTGTATAAAATTAAAATATTAAAAATATATTGTCGCTCAAGTATCATGATCATTGATCCCTACTGATTTTATTTTTGAATTTGGGACTTTTCTGCAAATATTTATGTTTCTTGGTCCCAATGGCCGGATTTTCCTTAAGGTAATTTAACATGGGGAAGAAGCTGACCTGAGATCTTGACCAGGACAAGTCCAAAACGTCGTCGCAATGGCCATGGAAAGAGCAATAAGGTTTCTCTGAGAAAGAGAACACAGTTTCAGGGATGTGAACATAATCAGGAATCGCGAAACTCCTTCCTGATCTTTTGCTTCCATGCTTCCCTTTCTTCTTCATATCATTCCATTCTTCTTTTCCATTTCGTTCCGGTGATCCAAGCAACGATGGATGAATCGGAGTGAGACTTCCCTCATCTGGCTTCATCGACGTGACCTCGCATTCCTGCACTTCCCATACGTGAATCACCTTGTCTTCCCCTGAACTCGCCATGTAATGACCATCTGTACTGAACCTGATCGTCCAGATACAGCCTTCGTGAGCTTGAAATTCTTGACACAGATGCAGAGCTGAGAGCTCTTTCATGGATTTCCCACTTTGTCTTACTCTCACCCACTGTTCGTTCTTCGCGGGTTTCTGTTCAGAAGTCGTCGACAATTGTGTTGACGATGACAATGACGACTTCTGTGTCTCATCTCTCTCTCTCTCCCCGATGAACCCAGAAGCCACTCCTTTGATGTTCTTCAACAGAGCAGCCCCTGTTCTTTTGCTCTTCCTTAAGCTCTTTGAGAAATACGAATGCTGCGTCGTGAGCTTCCGATCGTATCCAGAACCGTCGCTGGTACTTCTGTTCACTTTGTCGCGACTCATCAGCTCTTTCACCACCGGGGAATGTCCTAGGTGTCGTTCAAATTCCTCCATTGTTAATTTCTTCCCTGTTTGCAGATCGCTTAGTCTGTTCCACATCCCGTCTTCGCTTGACTCGTTGACGATGAACTCTTTTCCCGTGTCCAGATTCTTGATCAAGAAGAAAGCTCCTAATCCCCAGTTAGACTTCACCGACGTCATCTTCGAGCAGTGATGCGGCGGCGGCGGCGACTGCCCCGGCCTTTCTTTATGTTTCATTGCCACTCGGGATTCTCCTTTGCACGGACGAGCACCGCCACGAGAAAATGTCGAGTCCGAAGATGTTCTCGTCAGGCGTTGCTTGGAGATTTTACCTATGAATTCTTCTTTCCTGTATTTTGGCATCGAGAACGAATCAATGTCGCCTTCGGATCGCGAGCGACCGAGAACGAAGGGGATAATGGACGGCTTTCTTGATTTTTTCCTATGATGTTTTACCTCCGATTGCGAACTTACAGTGGAAGAAGAAGATGATGAATGAGGAGCAGAAGATTTACTTGTACTTGTTGGTGTTGAAGGTGAACAATCGGTTTGGTCATTTTCGAATTTCTTCGAAATGGCGCGATCCAGAGCCATGCTTGTGATTCTGAGGACCTCTTTGTTCTCGTCCAGGCCCATACCGAGAAGTAATCGTTTTCTGCGCTCCGTGATTGATCCCGGAGATGCGATCCACATGTCGTATTCGGAGCCCAAGGCGGCAACGGTGACCGGAAAGGGCTTGACTCTCTCGGATTTGTTGGGGGACATGTTGGCACTAAACGACATGCGGCTGTCTTCGAACCCGTCATCTTCGTCGGAGGAGGAAGCTTCCAGATCGATAGGGGCAGCGGAGGACATACGCTCGCGCGTCTCGAAGAAGCGATCGTCATCTTCATCGTCATCTCCGAGACCGTCCCAGTTCAATGTGAGCGATTTCCGTCGCTGCATGGTGGATATGGGCGGCGAAAGGCGGAGCTGGTGGTGGATTGGTTCGTGGAGAAGCGGAGAGGAAATTGTTTGACTAATTTTAATTTAATTTTGTTTATTTCTGAGATTGCAGAGTGATTGAAGAGAAAGAGGAGGAGAGAACATGAAGGGTCAGAAGTTGGTTACCGTTAAGGATGTTTTGGAGGCAAAGAAACGGTCAACGATTTTCACTCTTTATTTATTTATTTTATTTATTTAATTATGAATCCTTTTGCAAGTGCCTTTGCTTGTTGTGCACAACGAGGAGGAGACTACTTCTGTTGCCACGTAGTGTTAGTGACGTGCCTGTCAATACTTGCCACGTTTTAATTTTTTTTTGGTATATTTTTTAATTGCAATACTTTTTTTTTTAAATGAAAAGACAAATTGTTCCAAGTACATCCAAGAACTAGAAAAAAAAATAGAGGAAAGAAAAGTTAGGTTATAAAAAATAAAAATAGCATTTCAAAACAATTTTATTTTAACAGCATACTCATGATACTTCAAGCATGTCTTTAGAATTTATTTAATGTGATTATATATTTGAATTTAAATTGGAGACATTAAGGTAAATTGATTCAACTATTTTGACTAGTAAAGCAAGTGACTCTTAATTGCATTTCAAAACAATTATTTTTAATTAATATTATCTTATTTGGAATTTTGTAGGAACAACGCGCCTCCACAATTTGCAATTAGAAATTATTTTGACCTAATTGTCATTTTCTTTTTTATTTTCTATTTCATCTTAATCTCGTCTTATTTTCTACGTGGATCTTTCCTTCCAATATAATGAAAGCCTTCTAGTTGACCATGCCTTTCTTTCAAATTGAAGTTGCCTTTGTTAGAGCGTTTTGTGCAACAACTTTTAGAAACATATTATATGATAAAGATATTGAGCATTAAAGGAGAAAACAAATACAAAGCAATAGAGAAAAGAGATCTAATTTGTAATATGGAACATTTACATCCAATCAATTCAATTCAAGTTGGAAGAGTTATTTTTTTTTTTTAAATATGGCACTGCATATTTGCATGACTAATTAGCGGTTATGACATTTTCTCTTCACATGCTATAGGCAAAATAATAAACAAAATGTAGAACTATCATGGTCGTATAGAGGATTTAATGTAACTCGTTTGCTTTTTGTTTGGATTATTTGATTTTGATTTTAGTGGTCAAAAAGAATTAAATTTGATTTTACAATACATTTTTTTGTTGCAGTGAAATACTAGCAATCGAGAAATTAAGGAATAAATTTTACAAATCTATTATAAAATAATATAATTGTTAGAATATTTATAAATATTTATGGATTTGTATTAATTAATTAGCCCAGACAGATTAATTTTTATGATCTTATGTGAACCGTAATAGGTAGACCACACGAGTGAATCCAATGAGCAGAGGCCCAACCTGTAACACTGTAACCATCAGTGATTCTCTATCTCTTAACTAAATGAGTTAAGGATAATGAGAGATTAATTAATTAATCATGACAGTTATTGAATTGGTTCATATAAGATGATTAGTCAATAACCCCAATACGATATAAATTTTCCACTATCTCCATTTTCTCTAAACTCTCTAAAAACTATAGAGGGTCTAATGGATTGTATGTTTGTCTATATTCGAGGTAATCAAGGCATTAGAGTTAGTCATAAATTCTTCATGTATGCACGTCATTTTATTTGAATCTTATTTGTCTTATATGAATTGAGATATTAAGTTAACAATAAAGGCATCATGATTTAATATTTATTTTGATGAATGGACGGTGAGACTACTAAACTTCTTTTTCCAGTCTAAGATAACCGTTCTAATTGGAGCTCAAACGCTCATTCAATTCAATAGTCATAAAATTCTTCTTTTGGTACGTTTAAAAAAAACAAATAAAAGAAAAGAAAAAACATAACAAAGTTACGTGCATGTGGTTTCAGATTTAAAATATAAAGTTCAAAAAAAAAAAAAAGAGTAAGTAGATACAACAGTGTGTTTGTCAAGTTGGTGCATGTTTGTCATGGCTTGGGTCTATTTTTTAATTTTGAGGGATATATAGATAATGCCATTGGATTGAAGCCAAAAAAAAAAAAAGAAGGAATGTGCAAACTTCACAAAATTTTGTCATGTGGCATGTCCTAGTGGTTGCCAAATCCCACCTCACCAATATTGTTTTTCATTAATTACAAAAAATATATGTTGAAATAAATGTTGTCTAATATAATCATATTATTGCTAGCTATAGCAAATCATAATTTAAATGGTGTTTGGCTCAAATAGAATAATATGATAAGTTAAAATTTGAATGATTGAAAGAGGCATCCATATTTAATATTTGATCAACAAGATGGCCTCCCATTAAAAAAAAAAAAACTTGTGAGCAATAAAAAAAAATTCTTATATGTAATGATATGGTGACAACTAATCATTGAGATTTTATTGGCAAAAAAGGGGGATAAATGAGCAAATATTCCTGAATTTTAAGTTAAGTAGTATTATAAACTCTTAAATTTTTTTATTATATAAATTATTCTCTTGACTTTTGAGAACAAAACAATCTGGGCTTTATCACTGATAAAAATTAACTTTGACCATTAATTGATAAAAAAATAAATTTAAAAATTACCAAAAAATTACAATAAATGATGCAAAAAGTATAGACAATGATTCATTTTTTTTTTCCAGTTGAGATCGATGTTGAATTTTGAATTTTGAAAACTTTAATATAAAATTTTGTTGAGATGAATATCTTCTCAGTCCAAAATTTTCCGTCAAATTCACAGTATATATTATGAAAAAAATATAATTCTTTAATTAATTAGAGATAAAAATTAATAAAAAGTAAATACAATTTTTAAAGTAAGACTCTGAATATGAGACGAAGTATTATCTGAAATCATGATCGCATTAAAGAAGGATTTTCAGTTCCATTTCAACACTCGTGAGGTATTTATCAAAGCATATTTAAACGTTAGGAAAATAGATGTATCGTCAAGCACCTAAATTTCGATCGACAAGTATGTATAGGTAGAGATAGAAAATGGATGAGCCTAACTTATATGGGTTTAGCCCTTGTGAGCTCATGCTCTTGAGCCTGATTTTCAAAAAAATGGCTGGTTTCTGAAATTCAGCTATCATTTGAAAGGTTCAGGATCGGGCCCATATAATTTTTAAGAAGATTTAAAAAAATAAAAAATTTAATTAAATAAATAAATACAAATTTAAATATAAAATCTTGATGAAGTCTAAAAATAAAGATAAAAATCTTTAATCTAGATTAACCTTATCAAATTCAATAAATACAAAATCTTGTGTATCACAAAGTACAATATTAATCAAAACCAAAAAATAAACCTTAAAAAATAATTGTATTTAAAAAATTAATGTCAACATCGTGTTAAAATAAATGGCAAAAGAACCAATATCAATTATTATGACAGCACAATACTTGAATAGATTTATTTTTAGTTCCACATACTTCTTTTTTAGTTTCAGAAATATATTAACCGAGACAAAGATGACAATTTTGAAGATGACAGAGAAACAAAAAGGAAAAAGGAAAAAAAATGAAAGCAAAAGAAGAAGAATGAAAAGGTGTGGGAAGAAAATGATAGCTTACTCACAACAAACCTAAATCCATCTTTCTCTTCAAAGTTCCAATGACATGGGATAGAGGCACCTCAACACCATGACAAAGGAAAGGTTGAGACAAAGGCTAAGATAGAGGCAAGAGGGAGGAGAAGCGAAGATTGTGAGGAGAAGCTAAGAGGGAGAGCAAATTGTGAGGTTGTGTGAGGGAGACTACCATGATCAAGCACCTACAGCATCATTTAAAGTTGAGAACTAGAGATTGAAAGACAATAGGGAAGAGCACTGTGAATCCTCTATCTAGGTTGAGAGTCGAGAGGGAGGAGAAGCTGAGATTGTGAGGAGAGGTCAAGAGGAAGAGCAAATCTACAGGGTTGAAGAGTGTGTGGCATGAATGTGCTTAGGATTTTCTTTTAGGTGCCAATCCGAATGAAATGTTAGAAATAGGGAAGGAATTAGAAAGGGGAACAAGGCTTGGAAGGTCATCTCAGTTCAAGCCTATTTTTCAAGGCCTATCAAGTTTGGAACCCAAAGCCTATTTCCTTAAAAACATTCCAATTTTTCAAGCTAAAACTTTTATAAAAACAAGCCCTTCAGGTTTGATTCTTATTTTTAACTCTATTTGTACGTGTATATGTATACACTTCCTCCTTTTAATATTACAAGATATTTTTTTCAAAATATTTTGTTAAGAAATGGAAGATATTTTATATCTTTCTATAATTAATAAAATTTTTCCAAAAATACCCCTTTAATTAGGTGTGTAATTGATAAAGTTTAATAATTATGACGCATTACACCTATTAAATAAAAGTAAATATTGGAAAAATGTATAACTTTAAAACAACTAACTAACTCATTCACAAAATAATTTGAAGAAAAATACCTTCTACTCCATGAATTGGGAGAGTAATACTGGACGGAGGCAGTATATGTTTAGGCCTGGGATTTGAGCTTCTCCGTGAATTGAATGTTCAAATTATACAAAATAGAATATTGTCAATATATACTTCAAAAAAAAGTAGGGAAAAAATATTCTTACTATGACATCCAATCATAGCACAAAAAAAAAAAAAAACAGTACGCAAGAATATAATAATTTCAACCATCACCAACTGCTCCTTCTTGTTCATCTTAATTTCTCTTTAATTAAGAATCCGAAGACAACTTCTCTCCAAGCGTAAAACAGAAGGAAGAATCTTTCAGAATTCAGAAAGAAGAACTAAGCCCAAATCTGAAGCTTTAATTAACACAATCAATAAAATAGTACATATGTATTCTGTGTATTAAAAAAAAAACGAAAAAAAAAATCTAGCAGAATAAGTTCTCTTCCTTTGGCCACATAAAGCGCATACATAAATAGACCTGAACAACAAGGTAAGAACAAAAGAACCTGGTCGCAGCGGTAAAGCTATCAACTTCTTCACCAACTGTCCTTCAAATTCCTCTCTCTCTCTCTCTCTCTCTCTCTCTCTCTGTATCCATACTTTCATTCTTAAATTCACATTAATTGATCTTTTATCACTTTACGCCATCACAAGCGCTTTACAACATATCACTTGAGATCTTAACGAGTAAAAACATGTTCTAAACAAAAAGAAAGAAAAAAGAAAAGTAAATCTAACGTTTGGAACTTGCGTAACGTTAATTTCACCAAATATGGGGCTGCTAGCTAGCACCTGCAATATGTCTTCCCATGGCCAATTCAAATGCAAGTCGAAAAGCTTTGCATTGAATTAAACAAAATATATCGATCCATGAATCTAACAGTTTAAGCTTCAAGATTGAGATAATGAGAATCATAAAGTTTTGAATAGCTGAATATATAGGACCTTCTTACTGCATGATTGGAGGGAAATTTTGAAGAAGTGGAAGTTGATAATTACATGGCGTCACTGACAATATTTTTGTGTTGAGATTTCTTCTGGTTTTGGTGAGAATCAGAAAGAGGGTGACGTTGGGTTTGGAACAACAATAATTCAACCTCTCTGGAGAGATCAAGTGGTGGGTTTGATCTTCTTCTGCGTGATGGTGATGATGTGAAGGAAGCTTTTCTTTTGAGAGATGGTTGGGGTTTTCTGGGTGGAGCTGGGCATTGTTTGGCCTCTGGGATTCTGTGGTCCAAAGACGTTGGAGTTCTGAACCCATCATCATCATCTTCTTTCTCTTGTTGATTCACCTTGAGCTTGATCTCTTCCTCTGAATCATTCTCACTGCTTTCTGCTTCTGCTTCGTGTTGGGCTGTAGAATGACGAGTCTCTGAACTGTTTGAAGCAGTACTCTCACTCTGGAAGACGAGTCTTTCTGCAGCTTGGGAACTGTTGGCTGGGTCTTCTTGTTGGTCCTTTCTGAGAAGAAAGAGGCTATCAGAAGTGCTTGATGACATGGTTGAGGCGAAGAAAATGGGAAGGGTTTGAGAGTTCATGAAGCAGACTCTATCTCTCACTCTCTCTCTCTCTCAGTGCAAATTAAAGAAGAAAAGGATGAGAGAAGAGGAAGAAGGGAGGAGGAGGAGGGGCAGTTGGGGAGGGGTAGTTATAGAGGTACAAAAAGAAGGAACGTAATAATCAAATGGTCACACTTTTTCATCTTTTCCTCAAGTTTGGCTAGCTTCTTTGCCTGTACTTTTTTTTTGGGAATTTAAATCTGATTCAAAGTCTCACGGATCTCACACTTCAATTTTTGCCTCAATATTAATATTAATACACACACACGGTCATAAACCTATTCTTATAACTTAATCATTTGGTCGTCTCACTATCTTGGCTTTGAAAACTCAGATCAGGATTATTTATATTTTAAATTGAAATATAATTTTAAACTATTAAGTAAATTTGACTTTTAGTAGCAAGTTTCCTTTTTATTTTACGGAATTAATTTACACAATTTATTTTTTGAAAAATTTAAATAATATTAATACATGATTTTGCTCATAAATTTTACTAATTAATATTCCTCCCTCTCTCTCACACATCATTGTAACAAGTCATTAAACCTCATCTATTATTGGGAACTTGAGATTGAAAGTCCCACTCTTTAAAATTCTTTTTTATTGCTTATACATCTCATATCCTGCCCCACATTCAATTTAGATTACTTAACCAGCGCTAAGACTAATTTGAATTCAGGTTTGATATAGGGTTTTAACGAATGTTAATGTATTTTGATAGCACTAATTAAGTCAGAACAATCCTAACTTAGCCGTTTGATCTAGTCCTTGGGTGGTAAAATTCTTTAAACTATATATATATATATATATATATGGAGAGAACTGTTTATAGTAAAGATGGGGAAGAAACTTTTGGAGGAAGGGTGTTTGTGAACGAATCAAAATGGGTGTAAAAAGAAATGAAGGGTTTAAAAAAAGAGAGTGCCTTGGATCCTCCGCCAAAGGCTACAGCTCGTCACTGACTTCTTTTTCTCTGGTCCTTAGAGTTTGCTTCCGACTTTGAATTTCTTAATATTCTTCTTCTTTGATGTTCTTCCTCTTCCTCTATCTGTATCTTTGCTTCGCAACACAACACACAGCACAGTACTACTATTGTTGGTTTGCTTTGTTTCTGACTTGTCCGAACTTTGATGCGTCTCTCCCACGTGCTTTTGCTTCTCCTTCTGTGGGACCATTTACTACGCACTCTCATATCTATTTTCATTATTAATTACCATTCTTTCTTTTGTTTATTCTTCCCTCTACCATTCATTTTCACTCCCATCATTTCCTCCCTTGCATGCCTTTCTCTTCTTTTTCTTTTTTTTTCAGAAATATCTGAGACTTTATTATCATGTCTACGTCACATGTATCTTCATTTCATTTGTCTTGTTCCTCCAACTCTCTGGTTTACTAATCTCATATTCTAAGTCATAATCCATATGTACTCTGCTATATATATATATATATATATATAACAGCTCCCGCTGTGTTTAATACTCATTCTTTCAATATTATTTAAAAAAAAACATAATCATTGTTTTCTATAATTTTATTAGTTCTTGCTTTTAGTTTTTATAGTTTTTTCAGACTCTCTAAGTTTAATAAGATTAGATAACATTTGTTTTTCAGGTCTCTAGTGATATTAAATTACAGGGACTATAAAGATTAGAACATTGAAAACAAATTATAGGAACTAAAAAAATTCAATAAATAAAATTATATGAAGCAATAATTATGTTTTTCCATATTATAAGACATTTGTTTTTGAAGTATCACGTGAAAAAATATAAAGTATTTTGGACATTAAATTTAATTCTTAAAAAACATTGTCAAGATGTAATTAATAATTCAAGTAATAATTTAGCGTTAATTTTTAATTATTGAACGGTGGCTGTGGCTAATAATAATTATAAGTTGTTCAAAATTAGGGATAATCCTGAAGTTTGTCCTCACTTTTTTTTATTTTTTTCCATTAAATTTAGACTCCCAAACTTGGATTTGAAGATAATTCTAATTCTAATATTACGTGTACCCTCGAGGTTCACATAATACTTGTTAATTTCTTCAAAGTCTTTATATGAATTTTTGTCTCATTCATTTGTCAGCCACACGTTGAAATTTATTTAGAAAATTGTAATGATTTATAATACTTTGATATCTCCTCCTAAATTTTTCAATTTTCCCTTTTTATTATAAATTAAACGGATAGAAAAGGATCCGAGGAAAGTTCACATCAAATCACAAAAAAAATTCAAACTTCAGAGTCTGAGATATTACCTACCAAATAAATAAAGAAAGAAATAAATAAATGGACTCTGCGGAATCAATGGACTCTCTAGCCCTGACGTTACCTCGCTTTCTTTGTCTCTTTTTCCCTTTAAGCTCATTCATGTATTTCAGTCTAATTTCCTCATAATATATAAGTAATTTTTCTTTAATAGAGTGTTTATTCTCGTAAAAAAAATTATCGAGAATTAAACCAACAGTATCAACAAAAAATTATATATTTTTATCAGTTAATCTAAGCCAATCAATTTAAATTTATTTTGGCAAAAAAAAATCTACTTGAATTTATAAGGGAAAAAAAAATTAAACATATGGGGATCATAGGATTCCTGGAATGAAAATGGAAGCAAAATTCAGATTTGGTTGAGCTCCCAAAGCTGCTACCTGTTACCTAACATTATCAACTATCACTGTCAAACCCATCTCAATTATTTTCATAATTATTTATATGTACCCTTGACGGTGATATTATTATTTTATACACACACGCGAGACGGCGAGAGTATGTTCTTGTGACGTTTCTGTCAAATCAAACACCGAAGCAGATTTGTCCATAATGCTAAACCGTGTGGTAGGTTGTGTATTTGTTGTGCCTCTATATGGTAGTTTAGGACATTAATATATCAGTTATCATTTTCAAATATATTTTTAGGTGAGATGAAGAGGAAAAACGAGATGAATGCACGAGTGGATTTGACTTTTGATGTAGAGATTACCTATCAATTTACGAAATCTTTATGATAAAAAATTCAACCATGCTAATCGCTTTGAAAAAAAATCAGCATAACATGCTACAGTTAAATATTTTGATGTAACATTGATTATAAATGTTATTTGAAGAAAAATTAATATAAAATTAATCCAATCATTACAAATGATGAAGGATTTAGTTGATTTAAATCTCCAATCTCTTAAAAAAATGATAAAATATAATTTTGGTCCATGAACATTTTTTTATTTATCCTCTAAACTTTAATTTAAAATAATTCAATTTTTATAATTTATTAATTCAAAACAACTCAATCCTTTTATTTTTTGTTGATTCCATGCAATTCAATTTTTATAAATCTTTCTTAACTCAATAAATTATGAGAACTGAGTTATATAAATCAAAATTTAGGAATTGATAATTTGGAGAAAATTTAAAAACCAAAAGTTATATATATTATCCCTAAAATATTTTTACATTTTACTTTTATTTGTATAAATTTATTATATTTATTAGATCTATATATATGTCATATAAATTTGTTATTGTTATTTTATATATATATATTTTTTTTTTCCAACAAGTTTCTATAATTTGAAGTGTAAATATTTATGTTAATTATATATAATATAAATTTGTTCTTAAAATATTCACTTTGTTGCATGGAAGATTTAAATTACCTATCTCGTTTCAAAATCCAAAACATAAAGCAAACGTATGCATATAATATAATAATGTATATATAGTATTCCATAAGCAAGGTGATGATTCAAATATTGAAACTTAGCGAATAATAATGGTGGTGTTACATTATTTTTGGCAATAAAATAATATTATATAATTATGCTAAAAAGAAGAGCAGCATGCATGCAGAGGCATAGTTTAATTAGAGGAAATAATTATGAAAGTGCACGTAAAGAACATAGAGCCTTTCACGACTTTCACTGGTCATCATTAATTTAAGCTCATACTCTTGTGACTTTTTATCATTTTGTTCCCGTTTCTTACTATCACTTTCATCCTTTATCTGCATATAGTACTATTTTAGATATGCTCACTAATGCAGGATCTACCATAAAAAAGATTGGTGATTGTTTATATTTTTTCATAATTAAAATTATGAGAGTGACTTCAAGTGTCTCTTAAGTGTGAGGTTAATTCTTAGTCTTTAACCCCCATGAATATGATGTCTGTATGGGTTGCTTTCCAGTTAAAAAAAAAAAAAAAAACTATACAGCCATACAGGACTATATATTCGTCTTGTATGGCTGTATAGTTTTATATTTATATTAATACTACATGGATTATATTTTTTGATTGCCTATATTAATTATATTTACTTTGACGAATATATTGCAAAGTTAACTCACAAAGAAAAGAAAAGTGGAAGCTATGTTTAAAAAAAAAAAACTTAGAATTTACTGTTTGGTTGATTATAATTTATGCAAAGAAAGAGAAAAAAAATGAATCAATTAACATATATACAAGCTAAGGTTGTTTGAAAAATATTGTGGTGATGAATTAAAAATATTGCAAGACTAGTCTCTTCACACACATACATATTGTATAGTTGTTGAGTCAAAAATAAATACTCCCTCTATCCCAAATTATAAGATAACTTTAAAAGTATTTTACTATCTCAAATTATAAGATAACTTTAGAAGCATCTTACTGTCCCAAAATATAATGTAATTTGATAAAAATAAGGTTTCATTAATTATATTTTTTTAATATTATCCTTCAAGTAGAAAAAAAATCAAATGAATATAGTGTAATAATTAAGTGTGTAAATTTAAAATTATATTAAATGAAGAGTATTTTTAAAAGTTTATATTTTTATTTTGAAAATGTAAGTTTATAAAGTATCATTATTAAACTTTATTAATATATATAATTTTATAATTTGAGACAAGAGCAATACTACTTTGGTTTTAAATATTAAACTATAGGACTTTCTAAAAAAATGTAAAAATTTGAAACAGGAGGGGTAATACAATGATGAACCTTTGCATGATTTGGTCTGAGAGGTGTTAAATAATCCTTCCTAAGGATCATCTATACGCAATATTAAACATACATATCTTATCCTAAATAGAGCAAAGAAAGAATATTTATTTTAGTCTTATTCATTAAAACTTTTTAATTATTATTATATTTATCTTTACCATTTCACCCTTATTAAATGTTAAAAATTTTATTAAATGATAAAGTATTTTATTTTAAAGTACATATATTTAATAAAGATAAAGTTAAAAATTTATTTAATTTTTAAAAAGAGTTAATGTGATTTAAGATTTTATTTAATTTTGATAAAAATATTGAAAATGACGTCTTATAAATAAGACCAACGAAACCATGCTTTAGAGTATTATATATATAAATCAAAATACACCATTTCATTAATTAATTCAGAAAGAATCGCAAATGATATGGGTCATTGCCTCACTCTGCCTCTTACCGAATATGTTTCATACATACTGAATCCAATTTCTGAGGTTAAAAAAAAAAAAAAACTGAATCCAAATTTGTTTCCTCACTAAATGATTGTACGATCAATATTAAATGTTTGATCTACATCCACCGCATGGAGTGAATATAAATATGTTTGCATTATCAGATTCTGAATTTGTATAATTACGTGTCTGTTGTTATTCACTTCATGTGGTCGGGAGAACAGAAACAACTCACATTCTCATAATGCAACGTCTGAATAATTCCTTCCCTCTCGCTCTTGATTTTATTTGTGTGTTTATGTTTCTTGTTCTCTTTACTCTTTTAATTTAATATTGTACTCCCTCTGGTATTAATTATAAAGTAAAATTAATCAACTTCACTATTCTTAAAGTATATTAGTTAATATTTTTTAATTTATGAAAAAATATTTGACTTTCCAATTTTTCCATTTACTAAAATTAATTAACTACAACAAAGTTTTATATTTAGAACAAAAAAAAATTTAAATGTCCTTTAATTAAGACAAGTGAGAGTATAGTTTAATCACTTTTTCGTGATTTTTATAATTTTCTTTAAGAAAATATAATAACAAATCCCAGCATTTTGCTTTTAGTTTCTAAGGTTTTATTTTGTTATTCTCAATCCCTTTAGACCCTGTTTGGTTGGAGGGGAGGGGCTCCTCTTCCCTCCCCTCATTATTGACATGTACTTAATTTTTCCCTCATCTCCTACATTCTGTTTAAACCAAGTGTAAAGGAAAGCTTTTTTTTAAAAAAAAAAAAAATCATACATAGTCAATTTATTTCCATGTCCACATATTTTTTTCAATGCCAGGGTTAGCAAAGTTACAATGAAATTAACTATGTCATCATCAGCTTATGATTTTTATGTGAATTTTTAAAATTATAAGGACTAATGTAATAACATTGTAGGTTGATCAAACTAAAGGGATTAGTAGCAACAAAATAAAACTATATAGATTACAAACAAAATACAATCGAAGTATAATGACGTAATGTTATATTTTCCTTTTTCTTGATGAATATATAGATGAGATCTTCATCTTGTAGAAGTTACAATTTACCTTGTTTACTTCATCCAAAAATATAAATCATTTTTTTAAGATGATATGTTAAAAAATATAAGACATTTTAGACCTTTCAAAATGTAATTAATGAGATTTTTCTAAAAGTACTCTTAATTAGGAGATAAAATTAATAATATTTTTTAATTAAGATATCCTATTAAAAAAAGATAAGCATAAAAAGAGTGCATAATTTTAAAAACAATTAATTAACTCATTGGGAATATAACTCAATTAAGAATTTCTTATAATATTGAAGCGGATGGAGTATATTAAAGAAGTGAAATGAAGATCGAATGCTAAACAAGTAGTTAATTGTTATTATCAAATAGGATCAGTTATACATTAATTGGGTCGATTCCATCTAATCTAACCCACCATTTCACCTGCTCTCCAACTCCAAATTCTTTTTTTTAGGTATCATCATCTCTGACTTGATCTGCCTAACCTATTAATTACATGAACTAGCTAGTTTGCGTAAATTGCAAGTTAATTTAGGCCGACACTCAAGGGAATCTCTTATTAGGTGATTTGAGTTTTAATAAATTAAATCAAATTACCACAACAATCTCGTTCAACATTCATGCACGTTTTAAGAAAAATTATAGTTTTTAAAAGGTACTTAATAATATTGGTACTAAACATAGTTTGAAATGAAGCAACTTGCAATTAAAAAATAATTAGGAAAGGTTTGAATCTCATTAGAAGATGTGTATACATTTAATGCTCAACCATATCTTGAAAAAAGTTACTTTTAATAAGATATTTCTATAATCCTATTTACAAGACAAAGAGAAAAGATTTGCTTTAGTCTTATTTATAGAGCATTTTAATGATTATTATATCTATCTTTACTCTTTTGCTCTTATTTAATATTAAAAAGATTATTAAATATTAGAGTATTTTATTTTTAAAGTAAGTATATTTAATAGGGGTAAAGTAAAAAACTTGTTAAAGTTTTAGAAAAAATTAATGAAATTTAAGATTTTTTTAATTTTAATAAAAATATTAAAAATAATTTATAAATAAAACTAGAATATATATGTAAGATATATATATTACAAAAAAGAAGAAGAAAAAGAAGGACAAACAGAGATTTTGGGAGGTAGGGGATGTCCAATTTTTAGAATCGTAGAAATAATAAATAGATAATGATCATGAATATATACATGTCAATTATATTATTATTTTAAAAATTAAACTTCTTTAAAAGAATTTAAGAAATTAAATCTAGACGTCAATTCACAAATTTAAACTAAACTTTACAGACAAAATATATTTGAGAGCTACTTTCTCCAGGCACTTCTATCCACCTCGTTTAAATTGAAGAGAGATGGTTAAGTAATTAATTTTATTTAAAAGTAAAAAAATTAAATTATATTTTTATTTAAATGATTTACTAGTTATGTTATAATTAAAAAAATTATGTGGTGTTGCATTTTTAAATAAAAAGTGACAACAAGAAATATGAAGATCAATTGCATTAATTAAACCACTAGTGGTTAGTGTTTCTTTTTTCATAGTATTTGTTAAAAGAAAAAAGAAAATAGTGTGTTTCACAAGCTAAGGAGTTTTGACATACGCCTTTCTCTTCCTGAGACCAAACGGAGTAACTTCTCTGTCGCATGCATCGGCACCATGCCACACATGTCTCGGCATAAATCGCCGGAGATGGAACAAGTTGGAGCTCAGATGAGACCTTCCGAGCACCCGGACCTGTGCAAAGCCTGGCCGCCAGTCGTCGGAGCCGATCATTTTGAGGTAGAGGTAGCAGATGGGGGAGTCCACGCATGGAGCAGTGACCAGAAACTGGTCCACCATGCAAGCCTGAAAGGGCCTTCTGGGTACATCGTCAAGAACCTCAGGCTCCAATGGGTCCACTTTTTTAATGTGCTTGGAGTTGAGGTGACGAACCACTATGTCATTTGAATTGGTGTCTCCAAATCTTAGGCTCACATGGTTCGAAGTTTCAGCTCCCACCGTGCATGTTGTTTCTATGGTGATCACGTAGGTGCAATTTTTCTGTTGTATTTACTTGAAAATTTTATGTAATCCAAGGTATCAAAAACTAAACCTATTATTGGACTAATCAAAATATTAGTTCAAAAATTAATAATAATCAAAATCATAGTCGAATCGTGATTAGGCCAATCATAAATACAGCATTTTCACTAGATCAATTAAGATATCGGTTCAGCAATTTATCAGTTCTAGTGGTCGAATTAACCCAATTTTCAAAACTATGATATACTCATCAATAAACACATATTATCAATGTAAAATCACACTGTTTAAATCATGATCATCCATGCCATTAACCATCCGAGCTGCAACATTGTTCAAGACATCAGGAATTTTTTGATGTTGTATATTGGGAGGTCTCTTATGAGCATGTGTACAGAGAAGATGACACGCGTGTTGACCACTTCATTGCTCATTTCACTCAAAACATTAATGAAGAAGCCATAGTTTTGATAGAGTCACACTTACTTTCTTTAGATCTCATTGGTCTTCATTAAGCATCTCGCCTTTCCATTTTATTTCCAAAAAATAAATCACACTGTTTATAAATCACAAATAGTGTCACTTTCTTCAAACTCTGAGGATCACATGGACCACATACATCTATCTGATTAATATTAATATCAAAGATATACAGTTTATATCAATCAAACTGATCAATATTAATATCTAGAATTTATAAGAAATTGCTACTAGTATTCACAAGTTATGAATAACGCAATAAATTTAAGTTACTTGTAGTCTAATTCAAATTATTGACAAGTAGCTCCAATTTATTCAACTATTTAAGATGAATTTCACTTGTAGTGAGAGATCAGAGTGTTGACTCAAAATCATTTTAGGACCCAATCATAATATGATCATCGAAATCAATATAAAATATATAACAAATCATACTATTAGTAAGTCATTACCAACATAATTTAGCTTAGATTACATGCATGGTGGGTAAAAATACATGTCTTCTTTAAATTTAAACACAATTATTAGTTACCTTGTTTTCTGAAGGAAAGGTCTGCTCAGCTTGGAGAAGAGGAACCAAAAGCAAAGTGAAACAGAGAAAGCATGGCCCTCCACAGCTCTTTCCCATTTTCTCAGTTTTCTGATGAAACCATTTGCAGAACAGATCACGTTGATGATAGATGCTCTTTGTTAAGAAATTTATAGACACGAATTCTGAAGGTTCCTTCATATTCCTAGCTTGACTCCTTCGTAAAGTGCATATTCTTCATCATAGTACTTTAAATAAATCATTGATTATATGGTTTTTGTGAAATATTTTCAGGATATAATTAATAATTAAGGAGGCTTCTTCACTTTTACTTATGCTTCCTCGCTTTAGCAGGGTTAACCTTTCCTCTATTAAGGCAAAGTATCTCTTCCTAATCCCGTTTACTCAGTCTCATTTTGATTGTTAAAGCTAAGATTCCAACCATTTCTTCATCCACCCAAGTTGCTATCATTAATCGTGTCCTAACTCTGTCATCATTACTATAATATAATTTACACCTTCTAAACCTACTGCAACAGTCCAAATTTATTTATTTTTTATTTTTAACTTTCTAAATTATATATTTAAAGGGATATATATAACTCAAAGTTTGAGGAGTCATATGCACATAAAAAATAAAGGTTAAAGGAATACATGATTGATAGTTGGGAGTTATCCGCACCAATTTAAAAGTTCAAAGCTTAGAAAGGTTTATTATTAAGTTTTAAAGGTTCAATGGTTTATTGGTATGGTCTTGAGTTCATGAAATTTTGAATAATTTAGCCTTTATTTTATAATTTTTAAGGATAAATTTTGAAATATACTATAAATACTGGGGAAGTAAAACTTTCATGGGTTCTGCTCATTTAGTTACTTTCCTATAGTTGTGAAAGATATGTGAGAGATAACTTCTCGAGAAGTTAAGCCTTTTAACCAACAAAGCAAGACGAATTTCACTAGAAAAGTTCAACATCCCCTCCCTACTTAACCCAAGTGATACTGATAATACATCTAATTTCGTCTTTAAATTATTTGAGTGAAAGTATCCTTTAATTAAATATTTAAATCTCCCTGGAAAGATTTACTAGACGGTGTAGAACTTACAGTAAGGAAACAGTGATAATATATGTAGTAATGGTTATGTAAAAACCATGTTGATAATATTAAGGAGAGAGGTTAAAAAAAGAACAAATAAAGATAAATTGAACAAGTCAAGTATACTTTTTTTTTTTTTGGAATACATGGCCACGATAAAAAACCATGCAAGAAGACTAAAATCAAGTTATGTCAGAAGTTATAAGGTTTCTACAATCAATAGGCAGAATGTAAAAAAAAAATAATATGAAATGATCTCTCAAAATCTTGTGGGTTAGAAACTCGGCACATCAATTGGCTTTTCTGTAGACGTAGTCAAAATTGATCTCCCAATTTCTCATTGTGAGATTGTGGATGTTTCTTAAAATTAGTACAAGAGGATGGCCTTGATCAAAATTGCTTTCAATGAAAAGTCAAGTATGCATTTGAACTCATGACGTTTTTGGAATTAGCCATTGGATAAGTTTTCTGGCCAGACTATTTTATCATCTCAGAACATTTCGGCCCATGTACAAAATTCTGGACCAAATCAAAATTTTCTTATTCAATTCGGAAAACATCGTTAAAGGAGCCCAACGTCGAATTCTCACACTTCTGGCCCAGAAAAAGACATTTGAACCTATTGGAACTTGGGAGAATGACAAATAAGGACTTTGTAAAAATATAAATGTCAAATTAAAATTATTCAACACTAATGTTTTCAAATTTCAATTTTCCTTCTACCATGTGTCAGTACTAAAATTTTTAATTTAACATTAATGTTCTTACAAGGTCATTACTTGTCATTTTTTCCAATTATATGAGATATCAAGTTTTATTGTATCCAAAAAAAAAAAAGATATCAAGTTTTATAAATAATTAGTCCCAGAAAAATAATTAGGACTTTCCAAAGGATCTTGTTGAATACCTTTCAGCTTAAGTCTACTGTAAAATGTTTTTCATCATATCAATGACATGATACAAAAGAATCCATTCATGCCTTTGATCCAACAAAAAATAATTGATTAGTGGATATTGAGGAAATTAAAAGTGCACGTTAGATTAATGCTTATTACAATTGAATTTAGAGTTAGCCGTAAGAGGGATTTTAAATTAATTTATTTGATTTTTCTTTGGAAACTTCGCTAATACCACAGTTGTTTGCTTAAGGTTCCGTACTATTGTTGCATGCTATCTGCCATGTTGTTAATAATAATATAAAAAAGCTAGGGCATGCATCTACCTCTAAAAGGGACTGCCTGATAGAGAGAACAGAAAGCCGTCTTCTATGTCCTTCATTTCAAATATTGCTTTGTAACCAAGAACTTCTGTTGAGACAATTACATCTAACCAATGGCCTATGCCTTCTCAATCGCAAGCTTCACCTTTGAAAATGACAATGAAATTTCATATTATTTGTTTCACTTCAAAGAAATTCTTAAAAAGGATTCATTCTAAGAATCTTGAAGGCCTCATCAATTATTAATCAATGTATATAAGTATCTTAAAGCAGAGTAAAATTGTAAAACTCACTTTTGGCATGTCTGTTTACCATACGTTCTGACATTTGCAGCTTCAATGAATTGACACCTTGGTTGGGCTGCAAACTTACAATTTAGAAACGTCATTCTCCATGTAAAAAGCGTACAGATTAAATCAACCATAACATATGGGATTTGCAAGAGCAGTGCCTTAGACAAGCAAATCTTTCAAGATTTGACTTAAACAAGAAGGAGGTCAAAGGCAATTGATTGTCTTGGACACCACTCTTTAGTTGTTCTAACAACTCATACCATTAGAATGTAGTAATTTAGCTCTTCTAGATTTCAGCTTCTGTGTGAAACATGTGGTTTTGCATCACCTAATTGAACAACAACGTTGTCTCATTCTTCTTTATATTGCCAACCCATGACCCTCCTCTGCATCCACGGTTCAGACTAAAAGGGCAAAACCTGCTCTCTGCCACTCTCCCAAAGCCATCATTAACTTCTGTATGAAAAGAGAAAAATGGGTGTACCTCTTCAATCATTTGCATTTCCAGCACTCCTTCTTTTCTCAGTGATTCTCATCCCTCAGTTTGCAGAGGGGGGCATTACCAGGCACTACCATTTTGATGTACTTCTCATTATCTTATAGCTAACTTTCAAGTTTCATGAATATGCCTTTAGCATTCATGTTCCCATTCACTGTTTGCACTTTATCTAATGTAAAAGGCTTCCTGATGCAGATTAAGTACCAAAATGTAACACGGCTATGCCACACCAAGAGCATGGTCACTGTCAATGGTCAGTTTCCAGGACCTCGCATTGTAGCAAGGGAGGGTGATCGTCTTGTCATCAAAGTGGTTAACCATGTACAGAACAACATCACCATCCATTGGTAAGGAACATTTTTCTTTGATTAAAATCTTCAATTTCATGGAAAATTCTAAGGTAGACTTGGTCTGCCAAAAAACATGTAAACAGAGCTATTCTTAAAACAACAGACTCACATCTGACTTGCATAAATATTTTATTATGATTGGTGCGGTTCACTTATGTTTTATAGATCAAGTCTTCTTGAGAAAAAAAAATACAGAGAGAAAGAAAGAAACTAAACTACATCTGTCAAAATCTTGGTTGTGTTTTGAATAGGCATGGAATTCGACAACTTCAATCAGGATGGGCTGATGGACCTGCATATGTGACACAGTGCCCCATCCAAACAAGCCAAAGTTATGTCTACAATTACACCATTGTTGGCCAAAGAGGCACTCTCTTTTATCATGCCCATATATCATGGTTAAGATCAAGCGTCTACGGTCCTATCATTATCCTTCCCCAGCGTGGTGTTCCATATCCTTTCACCACACCCTACAAGGAAGTTCCCATGGTCTTTGGTAATGATATATTAATATACACTGGTGTCGTTTTACTTTTTGAAAGCATAAACATGCAACCAATTTGAATTATATTAACTTTTCTAGGAGAATGGTGGAATGCAGATACTGAGGCAGTCATAACGCAAGCCCTACAAACGGGTGGTGGTCCAAATGTCTCTGATGCCTACACTATCAATGGACTTCCAGGGCCACTGTACAATTGCTCTGCTAAAGGTATCAAGTACTTTTCGTAGATATATTTCTGTAAGATACCCAACATTAGTAGTGGCTAAATCCCAATGATTATTAGTCCTCCCTGAGTTTAATAATTACTCGTTATTTTAGCGGCAACTTATATCAAGACTCAATCACATAAAGGATAGGATGCTTATGAATTGATCCCCAGATTTGTTTTGATTGTATATAAAAGATTGGTTTTGCAGATACATTCAAGCTGAAGGTAAAGCCTGGAAAAACATACCTTCTTCGTGTGGTCAACGCAGCACTCAATGATGAGCTCTTCTTCAGTATTGCGAATCACACCCTCACAGTCGTTGAAGCAGATGCAGTATATGTTAAGCCTTTTGAGACTAACGCCATTCTCATTACCCCCGGGCAAACCACTAATGTTATTCTTAAAACCAAATCCCACTACCCCAAAGCCACATTCCTCATGACTGCCAGACCATACGTGACTGGCCTTGGCACTTTTGATAACTCAACTGTTGCTGGTATCCTGGAATATGAATCCCCATCAAATTCTCTTCACTTGAAGAAGCTCCCACTCTTCAAACCAATCCTCCCTGCCCTTAATGACACTTCCTTCGCAACCAATTTTGCTAAAAACTTCGTAGCCTCGCAAATGCTCAGTTTCCTGCCGATGTTCCCCAGAAAGTCGATAAGCAATTTTTCTTCACAGTAGGCCTTGGTACAAGTCCCTGTGCTCACAATCAAACATGTCAAGGACCCAATGGAACAATGTTTGCGGCTTCAATCAATAATGTATCTTTCACACTCCCAAACACTGCTCTTCTTCAAGCCCACTACTTTGGGCAATCTACCGGAGTTTACTCCCCAAACTTTCCTAGGAGCCCCTTGCATCCATTCAACTACACCGGCACCCCACCAAACAACACCATGGTGAGCAATGGGACAAAGTTGGTGATACTTCCCTTCAACACTAGCGTGGAGCTTATCATGCAGGACACCAGTATACTAGGCGCTGAAAGTCATCCTCTCCATTTGCATGGCTTTAACTTCTTTGTTGTTGGCCGAGGGTTTGGCAACTTCAATCCAAATAAGGACACTGCAAATTTCAATCTTGTTGATCCCGTTGAAAGGAACACGGTGGATGTCCCCTCTGGTGGCTGGGTTGCCATTCGTTTCCTTGCAGATAACCCAGGTTTGTAAGATTTGTGCTTGTTGTGAGGTAGTGCTTATGGGCAAAATTTAACTACAATTTATAGGTCCGCCCTATTTTCAACCACATGTTTTTTTATTATTGGGGAACATAAATCTGGTCGCGTGCCTATTTGGCTAGCTTAACTTTTATTAATCGCCCCGTTAATTAGAAGTTCAAATAAGGCAAGTAACAAAGTAGTCCTAGTTTTTTCCGACCGGAACAAAGTAGTACTAGCTAAAAGCTGAGTATTTGCTCTTATTCTATTCGTTTTGCAAGTTAACACACACCCCCGGCATGCATTTGCGGTTTTAAATAATAGAATATATTCATATCTGAAGAAAATAAAGAGTGCGAGATAATGGAAAGCTCATAAACTTCTGTTATTGATGTGGGCAGGCGTATGGTTCATGCATTGTCACCTGGAAATTCACACAAGCTGGGGTCTGAAAATGGCGTGGGTCGTCTCGGATGGAGAGCTTCCCAATCAGAAACTACTTCCACCACCATCGGATCTCCCCGTCTGTTAACTTCGGCCTGATATGGCGCTCTTCAACTTTTATTCACCGGAATTTGCCGCCATTTATGGCGTTCTTTATTGAGCAAATAACTGTTACGAGTTACTCTTCTCCATCCGGAAATGCCGTGGAGAGATTGATTTTTTTTCTTTTTGTGGTTTCAAGAAAAAATTGTTTCGTATCAAGAAAAACTTGTTTTTTTTTTTTTTTTATTTTGCCCAGGATCAAGAAATACTTGTTAGTTGTGTTACCCATTGTGAGACGCCCCTACATACTACGGCAACAAATGTTTCGACTAACTTTGATGTATTTCAACATTTAAATGAGAATTCTTTGTTTATTGACTTTGTTCTTCCACGCAATGCATTTTGACGTTCATAACTAATAATTTACTCCCAGTCTTATTCAACAAGGGCAGATTGTCATTAACCTGGGATGATCCATTACTCACCGACCTGAGAAAACAAAACAATAATACTTCCACTGTTTATAAGACATAGATGATAGATTGTACATATGCCAAGTCATCGTACTTGTAATTCATTCATAAATTATCCTCCACAATTTGCGTGAGAGCGGGAGCGGGCGCGGGCGTAACTGGTTTGATAAATGGAAGGGCATGCTACGGTTACACAAGAACAAGGCCAACAAAAATTCATGTGATGCTAATGATGGTTTCAAAAGTAATGCCACGAGTTAACCCAACACAAATTCCTCATTGATTTTCAGTAAGATGGAACTAACAACATCCAAGTGAAATGCTGGCACACGTACAATTAATCATCTCCCCCGTGTTTTTTCTTAATTTTTTTCCTAGTTGGTTCCCCGGGTTTAGCATCATCTCTCACTTCCACGTCTTCGTTCTTTCTTTTTTTCTGCAACCCCTTTACCTCATCAGTATTTATTTTAGCCTCGCTTCCTGCCACATGTCTCTTTTTCTTTTTACTTGGTAATTCCTTTTATCAACAGAGTCTCCATGTTTGTTCTCAACACCATTGCTTAGTATCCCTTTTTGGTCATATTCTGTACTTGCAATCCCATATTCTGGTTTGATAACCTCACCCTCTTTGCCAGAAAAGTTGAACGTAATATCCTTGTCTTTCTTTTTCTTCTTCTCCTGTTTATGTTTCTTTCCATCCACGAATCCCTTGTCATCACCTGCGTTTCCCTCATTTGATCCCTCTTCAAATTTAACCTCACCGGCCACATTCTTATTGGACTCATCTTCACGTTCCTTTTTCTTCTTATGCTTCTCCCTCTTGGTGGGTTCTTGACTAAAATCAAGGCCACCATGAGTTGGTTTTTCTTCAATTTCATTTCTGGCCTCAGTTCGTGGTTTCCGATCAACTTCCACCTCTCCAATTTCAACCCCATTATCTCCTTGCTCCTGGAACTTAATGTCATGCTTCTTTTTCTTCTTCTTAAGCGTTTCACTCCCACCCTCAGTTCCTGCATGATATTCAGTGGCTCCATCAGGTTCTTGATTGAATTTGATAATTGTTTGAGATGATTTTTGTGCATCCTCACAGGGATCTTTACTGCCAAACCGATGCACAGCCCTCTGATTTAACTGCTCATTAATCTCCTCAATTTTCTCTTTGCCATTATGAGTCTTTGATCTACTCCTTTTGTGCTTCCGATCAGAACGTGGTGATTTGAGCTCCTTGTGGAGCTGTTTCAGCTCACTGAACGAACTAGAGGCTCGATGGAGATATGCACTGATGACATGTGAAGCACCATTCTCAGCAGAGATAAACTTTGAGAGGATTTTTGCAGCTTTTGAAAGAGAGATTGGTTTTTCTGAAATAGGCTTTCCAGAGATTGTCTTCATTTGTAAGCCCTTCAACCTTCACATATGTATGCCTAGAACAAACGAGATTTAAGCATCTTTAGTTCCATATGTTTATTCTTAAAATTAAAAACAGTACCTAGCTCACATACCCGTAACTGATAGTTAGGAGATAGTTAAACCAACACATGACTAAGGCACTAAGCACTAAAACTTATAAGACTACAAAATGCTAGTTCCATGACACAAGTCACTGGACTTTGCTCATCCATTCACGCAGCAGAGATGGTCCCATTTGCTTCTGCTGTGTTTAATAGCCCAGTAACAGCTATATCACTTCCTCCATTAAAGTTAATAAATTATGAAAATGAGGATTCAAATGATAAGGGAAAAAAAAGCCAGATTTTGACATGGGTAAGATAGACAAAAGAAGTACAAAAGAACTTCCAAGGAGTATCAATACATTGACCAAAATAAAAGTTGCTTGGGCTTCTGTTGTCTTTATTACAAGTTTACAACCAGAGGCACTAACATAATGTCATAAGCAACTAAAACTAACAAGCCCAGTAGAGGGTCATGTTATGCTCCATAAACTGAGAAACTAACATTCTTGAATGGCATAACGTACAACATACAAATTTCCGTCCGAGATTGTTAACATTAATTATCATAATACTCCCAGAACTAAATATGCTCTAAAATAAAAATAAACAAATGTAGATGTTAAAATTCCACCAATCACCATGAACATCAAGATTCTATTATGGTAGTAAAAAACACGAGTCAGATATTTCACCCATAAAAATAGAAAGAAAAGAAAATACATGATTCAAATAATAGTCATTGAGTATGTATTATCAAAATCATGCATGCCAAC